AAGCCCAGAAATCTGGCGTATACGGAAGGCGCGGCAGGTCCCGCTTGAGGTTTGCCTGATACCGCTCCCGATAGTCGGGGTGGTGCAGGAGATGCATAGACGTAATGGAAGATGTCCCATTTGCCGATTGACTCGTCTCGGTAATGTGCCCGGAATCGTGCTAACGCCCAATCGGTGATGTTCTCCCGGCGGTTCCTCCGTCTTCATCATAGGTGTAGAAGGGAAACATTGAGTCTTTTCGAGTATATCAAAGCATGGAATTAGTGAAGCCATTAAGGTCTGAAAAGGTTTGTTACTTCCGAGTCCACTGACACAAATCACACGATTCTCTTGTTCGGTTTCAGGTGTGGAAAAAATAGATGGAAACACGGACACTACATCGTTCATCATTCGGTCAAAGTAGAGGTTCGATTTTGTAAACGGACGATAGAGGGATGTTCTCACTTTGTAATCTGCATATTTGGCTGTTTGCTCTCGCTTCAATTTTACCTTTAAGTCCCGACTCCAACTGATTTTTTTATCATCATAACCCACAAAATCATTGACGTTTGCGGCCCGGTGGCCTTGATGTCCACACTGTAAACACCTGCTCATTGTAGGTATCAATCATCCCGCTCATGTTTTCAGCCAAGGCACTTCGGTTGAAGTTGTACGCCCACGCATCACGGTTAGTTTTAACACCGTTGCTATAAATCTTAAAAATCACATCTACCGCCTCACCCCTCGCTGCCTTCGCTTCTTTAGTGCCCATCGGGATAAAGGTCTCAAATTCGGCGCGGAGGCCCTTCTGTCAGCCATGTGTATCGCTGGTCGGTCTTATCGGCTTCCATTCTATGTTTCGATAATACTCCTTTGAATCGAGATAGCGGTATTTGTCCTCCTTCCGCCAAATCATCGACACGGGCGTAGAAGATTTCGGCTTGGGAATTTGCGTTGCCACGTCTCTTGATGAAAAAATTGATACTCACACCGACCTGAATCCCAAAGACGTTATGCGTTGTGCCCTGAGAGTTTTGGGTTCTGCTGACGTTCCCACTCAAGTCCAGAATATAAATCGCGTCGAAATCGTCTGCGAGGTGTTTCCGCATCCCGTCAAACGCCACACCGTCAAGAAACTGTTGTTCGTCACGAAGGCAACAACCCCTTCTTTTCCTATCCGGTCCGATGCCCACCGAATCGCCTTCACATAGGGGTCGGCGAGTGATTTTTATTGTCGCTGTGGAGTCTTTCGCATAGGTCTCCGCAACCCGCGATCCATCGTTGGATACTTCCGATTCTTGTTGTTGTCGTTCTCGTTGACTGACCCGACGTTATAGGCGGATTGCCGATGACGACAAACATCGGTGTCTCCTTCTGGGCTTCAACACGGCGGGTATTGTCAAGGGCGAAACAGCGGCAACTGTCGATCTTCCGCCAGATCAAACGTATCGACGAGGCAGATCCCCTCAAACGGGTGATAATCTCCTGTCGCCTCGTAAACTCATGCTCAATGTTCATCGACGCGATGTAGTACGGCAGCAGCATCACCTCGTTGCAGTGGAGTTCGGACTGATACTTATCCTCAAGTGCGGTTGGGCGGATCTCACGCATCGTCCGCACGATGAAATTGCCGGTCCCCTACAAATGGGTCAATGATGTGAACACCGGAATCGGAGAGCGATCGATTGAATTCGGCCCCTAGAATCTCCTCAACGCTTCTCACCATGAAATCGACAATCGTTGCGGCGTGTAGACACTCCGTGCGTATCGCAACTCCACCGAAAAGCCTTGAAAAAACTGCTCGTAGACCGTGTTGAGGAAACTCTGTTTTTGGGAGAAGTCGTCGATGGTCGCAGCGGTGCGTTCGATTGCGACGTAAAAGGGGTCAAGGCTATGCAGAAAATCCTCCCGGCTGAAAGCGTGAGACATCAGCGCGGTGATGACGGTTTCGATTTCGCGGGCGATAACATTGCGGCGGGTGAATTCGGAGTTGCTAAAGACGGTTCGGAAAGATTCGCTCGGTCAACAGGTGCTGAATCAGCATCTCCTCGACAGCGGCTTCGGAGAGGTTGGGGTTGATCGATTGACGACACTTCTCATGGAAGGCAGCAAAGGCGGCGGTAAACTCGCGATTCGCCCCCCGTTCCTTTTCGATCAGTTCTGCCAAGCCGTTCCCAAGTGCGGGTACTCTGTCTTTGAACTGCGAGACCGCCTCCTCCCATTCGGTGTATTCTTGCGGACGGTGGGAACAGAAGGTTTCGAGGGTATGTATCAGTTGCGTTGGGTCGGTCAGGTCGGCATCAAGTGTCTGCTGATTGTTCTGCCAAAGGAGGGCCGCGGTGGGGGGTTTGGAAGAGGATGTTGTCGCGGGGGTAGCCTTTCTCGAATTTGCGGAGCACTTCGGCTGGCAGGTCGTCGTGGATATCCTTCGCCTCCCAGTAGCCGTGGGGTAGTTGGAAGTTGTCGATCAATGCGCCGTCAACAACAATCCGTTTGTTTTTAACCCCCCTAGCCCCCCTTATCAGGGGGGTCATTGAGTGCTCAGGCACGAGAATCCAGTTAAATTGCCGTCCGCAGTGTTCGAGTAGGGTTTGGAATGCCGAGCGGACAGCGGTTTCGTGGGAGACGCCAATTGACTCGAAACGTTGTAGGGATTCGTAGTAGGCTTTGACCGGTTTGTGGGTTGATTTGAGATTGAGGGTTGTCATGCGAAATATTGTCGAGATGTGAATCTCGACCTACAGGAAATTAACGCGAGTTGTTATCGAGTGATTTTTTTCGATTTATCATGCCACAATCCAATGCGGCACACATGTCGCCCCGCTGGGGCTTTAGGTATTTGGTGTATCCCGTGTGCTATACACATGCCGCCCCGCTGGGGCTAAAAAACTTGAGATATTACCGGACTAGACACATAGCACTCCTCCCCGATAAGATCGGGATTCAAAACTGGAGCGAAAGATGAACATTTGACGGGCGGGGAGACCCCGCCCCTACCAATTATCAGGGGTGAGATTGGTTTCACCGCACCAGATTGCTCTGCGCCCATTGAGCAAATGTCGCGTTATGTTCCGTCGTTGGTTGGTGGGTATAGGTGGTTGGCAGTGAACCACCGATTAAATCTTCTAGTTTCCCTTGCAACTGACTAACAACTTCGGGGTGGGCAGCAGCGACGTTATGCATCTCTTCGGATCGCTGACTGAATGGAACAGGCGTGGATTGGTATCTGCGTTATAGTCTCAAGCATGAGGAGCCATTCGGGCGTGCGAACTCCAGCGGTCGACATCCAACCGGTGATGACGTGATCGCGCGACCCCTCTTGTGCACCAGAGATGACAGGCAAGAGATTATAGCCATCAACCGCTTCACTCTCAATCCCAAAGATGGAAAGGATTGTCGGCATCAGATCGATATTCTGGGCGTAGGCGTCGATCGTCTTGTCGTGGTATGCGGGATCCGGGTGGCGAATCCAGAAATTGAGCCGACAGTTATACGGGTGCATCGCGTCTGCGGTCTTGCCGAACTGCGTATGGTCCATCAACTCGGTGCCGTGATCCGAGACAAAGCAGATTACCGTGTCATCCCACAGATTCAGATCGGTGAGGACACTCAGCAGGTAACCGATCCACTTATCGACAAAGGTAACATAGCCGTAGTAGAGGGCTTTCGTGCGGCGTATCTCATCTTCCGTCAAACCTTTATAATTCTGCACCATCTGCGGATAGATATAATCCTTCACGCCTTCCGCCTTGAAATACCGATCGGCGAAGTGCATCGGCGGATCCCAGCATTCATGCGGTGTGAAGCTATCGATCCAGAGGAAGAACGGCTGATTTTCGTAGTTGTCCTGTATCCACCGTGCCGCACTGCGAAAGACACGCGGGGCGAGATAGTCCTCCTCCCCTCGTCGATCCTGCATGTTCAACAGGTATTGTGCTATACCGGGGCGGTCTGTCGGATTGGCAATTTCGTCGGGCAAATAAGGTTTCATATTGATCGAAGCAAGGGGCCCACTGCGCACCCGATCCGATTCCTGTCCACGAATGTAGTCGTAACTCATAAAGCCGCGTGTAAAATTCATCGTCGGCTTGAACATGTGATAGACATCGCTGACCAACCCTGTTGCCACACCGTTGAGTAGTAGATGCTCCGCTAGTGTCGTCTGTGCCGTAGGGATAGCGTGCCAACCGTATATGTTTGGGACTGAGCCACGGTCATCAATATGGAAGCGCCACGGGTAGGATCGCATGCCTGTAAAGAAGCCACGTCGCATCGGGATGGTTGGCTCGCCTTCGCCCCAAGCGTTATTGAACACCGCGCTGTTTTCCCGCAACTGATCCAGGTGGGGGGTATCGACGTGATCTTCCCAAGTGTGATCTACCACATCTGCTCGAAGCGTATCACAGCAGATGACAATAGTGTTCATTTGGCAAACTCCTTGTGTGAGGTGGGTGGATTGCGTAAATCGTGCGTATCCTTTCAGACAGTGCGCGCGAGATATGCAGATTATAGCGGTGGTGGTCAGGCAAGTCAAGGAAATTCCGGGACGGGATAGGGCTATTTAGTTTTCGGTTTTCTCCTTGTCTGAACCCACGGAGATCACAGGTTAGGAAACCTGTGGCTACGAGTGAGATGTCGGGATTCGGAGATCCCTCCTACAGAAAAACTAAATGCCCTTACAGGACGGGATTAACTGTATGCGAAGCGCGTGAAACGTGAAAATCATTGATTTATTGATGTAGTCGGGCAAGTCCGAGAGAATCCCGTGACCGGGGATGCCCGGTCTGCGGGACTCAGAGAAAAAGAAGGTCAAGTCCACATTTTGTCATTGACATTGTGAACTGAATCGGTATAATTGAAGAATCTGATGACGAAATCAATCAGAATCAAATAGATAGGAGTATAACTATGAAACAATCTCTAACAGTAACAAAACTGGCCCACCTCTTGATAGTGGAGTGCTCCTGATCGGTGTTTGCCCGTTGATTAGCACGTCAACTGCACAGGAAGAATCCCTCAGAATGACAGGGGACCGAGCGACAATTTCTCGTGCCTATTCGGTCGTCTCTCGTATCTACGAGGAGGTCTTTAATATGGGAAAGCTGGAGCAAGCAGACACGCTAATTGCCACCGCATATATCGATCATAACCCAATCGGTCTAGGGGGTAAATCTGGCATAGAAGGCTTCAAACAGACCGTAAGAGCGTTACGCTTCGCCTTTCCCGACCTGCATTTCACAGTTGATCAATGATTGTCAACGGAGATCAGGTGGTGACTCGTACCACCATGCGGGGCACCCATAAGAATAGCTTTATGGGGGTTGACCCAACTAACAAGCAGGTGACAGTGTCAGGATTCGACATCTTTCGGATCGCCGATGGGGTTGTTGCGGAACGGTGGGGAACGCTTGATGGACTCACGCTCATGCAACAGATGGAGGTGTTCATTCCGATGGCGTGGCAATACACGCTGCTGGGGTGCGCTAGACCAAGAGGAGCGTAAGCCCCTGATTAATCAGATGAGTGAGACTGCCGAAAAGAAGAAAGATGTTTTCAGGAGCGATCGGCAGCCTGTAACGGAACTCGTGCATATAGATCAGTTGATGCATCAGTTCCAAGCAGACACAGGTTATGTTCGCGTGGTCGCGCTGCTTTCCCCCGGCTGACCGAAATGCCGTCGGGGGGTCTCCGAAATAATAAAACTGTTTGAAAGGGTTGGGGATGAACGACTGCGGGCTTACCTTATTTGGCAACCGATCCTTAATAGCGATAATCGAGTCTCGGCAGAGAGACGCGCTAATGAGTTTACCCACGAAAGATTTACACATTATTGGGATAGCAACAAAGCCGCTGGCGACCTTTGGAAGGATGTGCTCGGCTTAAAAGACACAGCGTGGGATGTCTATCTATTGTATAACGGGTCAGCAGAGTGGACAGGCAAGCCACCGGATCCGGATCTCTGGTTTCCCCAACTACAGCATGCGACACGTGCGCGATTTGAGGTAGTAACCAAACAACTCCTCCGAGAAATGCCGTAGGTAAATCCATGTGACGATGCGCCTCTATTTCCTTTCTGTTGCTCTGCTAGCCGGTTCAATCATCGCTTATGAGATTACGCTGGTACGATTATTTTCAATAGCGCAATGGCATCATTTCGCGCACATGATTATCAGCCTCGCACTGCTTGGATTTGGTGCGAGTGGGACAGCGATTTCCCTTACGCAACGTTGGTTGATGGGGAATCGGTGGAAATCCGACGAAGTAGCCCGACGCTTTCACAACACTTACACGATTTGTGGATTGCTCTATTCGATCAGCCTCGTTGGGTGTTTCGTAGTGCATCAATATGTGCCGTTCAATCCACTGATGCTGGTTTGGCAGCCGAGTCAGGCACTGTCGCTTTTTGCGCTGTACCTTATTCTGTCGTTCCCGTTTTTCTTCGGGGCAGCCTGCATTGGTCTGGCGTTGCTCCGATTTGCGGGAAATGTCAACCGTCTCTATTTTTTCGATCTTTTCGGTTCCGGTATTGGGGCATTAGGCATCATTGTTACGATGTACCTGATTCCCCCGGCACAAAACCTGACTCTCATCTCAGCAGTTGGGTTTTGTGCGGTGCTGATTGCTAATTGGGAAAGTTGGAAAACGCGGAAGTGGCGGCGAATTGTCCCGATAACTGGACTTGCTGCTGCGTTTATCGGCTACCTTTTGTTCAACCCTGTTTCAATCAAGATCTCACCCTACAAAGGGTTGAGCAGTACGCTCAACTTCCCGGATGCACAAATTCTGAATGAGCGGCATAGCCCCTTTGGCGTGCTGCATGTGGTTCGTAGTGGATTAATCCGTGCGGTGCCGGGGTTGAGCTTAAACGCGCAGCACCCGGTACAGCCACAGTTGGGCATATTCACCGACGCCGATGGAATGACGGCGATAACCGATTTCAGAGGTGACTTATCAAAGTTAGGTTATCTTGGGGATACAACGTCGGCGGTGGCATATCACCTGATTGAGCCGCCCCGCGTGCTGGTCTTAGGTGCCGGTGGCGGTGGGGATGTTCTCAACGCACTGTATCACGGAGCAGCATCGGTTGATGCGGTGGAGCTAAACCCACAAGTACTTGAACTAGTGGCGAAAGAACACAAAGATTTCGCCGGGCACATTTACGCGCCAGATTCACCCTATCCGGTGCAGGTTCACGTCGCAGAGGCACGTGGATTTGTGAGAGCAACAACAAAGCGATATGATCTCATCCAAATCGCACTGCTCGATTCCGTAAGTGCATCTGCTGCAGGCACTCACGCCCTGAGCGAGAGCTATCTTTACACCGTTGAGGCGTTCACAGACCTGTATCAACATCTGATGCCTGGGGGTATTATTTCGATTACGCGCTGGCTGAAAACCCCACCGCGTGACATGATTCGGTTGTTCGCGACAGCAGTTGAGGCGTTGGAACAGAGTGATGGCGCGGTTCCCGCTCAACAGTTGGCGATGATCCGCGGCTGGCGGACCGGCACGCTGCTGATAAAAAAGGGACCTTCGACACAGCTGACCGAGCGGCGATTCAGATTTTTTGTCGTGAGCGTTCTTTCGATTTGGCGTACTATCCCCAAATGCCGGAGGTAGAAGCCAATCACTACAACCAATTGATGGAACCGATTTTCTTTCGGGCTGCGCAAGCGATTCTATCCAACGATCGGAAACAATTTTACGAAGGGTATCCCTTCAATATCCGCCCTACAACTGATAATCGCCCATATTTCTTTCAATTCTTGCGTTTTGATTCACTGATTCAGATGGTTCGGACGGTCGGCAGAAGTGCCATCCCGTTCATCGAATGGGGATATCTACTCCTGATTGCAACGCTGATCCAAGCAGTGTTAGTAGGGCTAGTCTTGATTCTGATACCACTCTTTTTCTTGAAGCGGGAAGCCACTTCATCCATCACTCACGACTCGCGTTTCACCAATTGGCAGGTATTCATTTACTTTCTGAGTTTGGGTGCTGGATTTATGTTTATTGAGATGTCGTTCATCCAAAAGTTTCTCCTGTTGCTTGCGAATCCGACGTATGCGGTTGCGGTTGTGCTCAGTGCGTTCCTCCTCTTTGCGGGTCTCGGCAGCCTTTTCTCACTGAAACTGAGAACGATTGAGAGACTGAGGCGGCGTCCGATCGCCGTTGCTGTCGGCATGTTATCGGTCATCGCGCTCGTTTACCTGCAACTGCTGCCCCCGATTTTTCACCGCTTTCTCGCGAGTTCCGATGCTCTGAAGATTATCGTATCAATTGGATTGATTGCACCCTTAGCGTTTTTCATGGGAATGCCCTTCCCGTTGGGTATAGAGTGGTTGCAGAGACACCATCCAGACCTTATCGCCTGGGCGTGGGGTATCAACGGTTATGCGTCTGTGGTAAGCGCGATTCTGGCGACCTGTCTTGCGATTGCGTTCGGCTTTAATGTCGTGATTCTTCTGGCAGTTGGGATCTATCTTATCGGTGGGTGCGTCCACCTCCGGATGGATCAGGAGATTACACCCTAGTCTCTCTGGTAAGAATTGGCAAAGCGCACATTTTCAATAAACAAGGAGGCACATCATGAAACAGTCTTTTTTTATTCTCGCCACATTTCTCCTATTAGTCGCTATCCCCTCACACAGCGTTGGTGACTTCGATAGCGATCGTGAGTGGATGGTCAAACGCCAGATCGACGCAGAGAGTATCACCGATGGTCGAATCGGTATCAAAAATAAGTCTGTTTTAGAAGCGATGCGACGCGTACTTCGTCATGAATTTGTCCCTGCCCATCTGAAATCCCGCGCATATATTGATATGCCACTGCCGATTGGATATGATCAGACAATTTCGCAACCGTATATCGTTGCGTATATGACAGAAATGCTTGATCCTAAAAAAGAGTACAAAGTCCTTGAAGTGGGCACCGGTTCGGGATATCAAGCGGCGGTGTTAGCGGAGTTGGTCGATCATGTCTATACGATCGAAATTATCAAGGAGCTTGGCGAAAGTGCAGAGAAGCGGCTGAAACGGCTCGGCTATAAAAACGTGACGGTGAAAATCGGTGATGGTTACTTCGGTTGGGAGGAACACGCGCCTTATGATGCGATTATTGTCACCGCTGCACCGGATCATATTCCACCGATGTTAATACATCAACTGAAACCGGGTGGGCAATTGTGCATTCCGGTTGGTGGACGTTTCCGGGTGCAGAGCCTGACACTTGTACAAAAAACAGAATCGGGTTCAATTATGACAAGGCAAGTGATGCCGGTTAGTTTTGTCCCGTTAACTGGGAAGCATTAAATCGATTTTGAATAAAATAGTATTATTGAGGAGCACATCGTGAGCACTGAAAATACAACGGTTTACCGACATGGGATTTGTCGGATCTGTACGATGGCGTTGACGATTCGCAGTTAGACACTGACTTAAATTCGATGGCAGATCAGGCGGCAAAGTTTGAGGATAAGTACAAAGGACGCATCGCCTCAACAGATGTGACAGCGGATCTGTTATGTAGCGCGCTCAACGATTATGAAGCCTTGATGACGGTACAGTACAAGCCGGGGTCTTATGCCAACTTGCTGTTTTCGACGGATACTGCGGACGCCCAACGGGGTGCATTGTTACAGAGAACACGTGAGATCGGTTCAGCAGCGGCAACCCATCTGATTTTCTTCGACCTTGAAATCGGCAAGATCCCGCAAGAAATTTTTGATCGCATCATCAATGATCCGCAACTCGCACCTTACCGGCACTATCTCGAACATGAACGGGCACTAGCAGCACACCATTTGAGCGAAGCAGAAGAGAAGATTTTGGAGGAGACAGCAAACACGCGGGGACGCGCTTTGGACGACTGTTTACCGAAATCACGTCGCGTCAAACCTTCCGCATGGGCGACGAAGAACTGACCCAAAGCGAGTTGCTGGTGAACTTTTACAACCCAGATCGCGAAACGCGCAAAGCCGCCGCTGCTGCCTTGACTGATACACTCAAGCAGGATGCGCATGTATTGACTTTCATCTTCAATACACTCCTCCACGAAAAGCAGATTCTGGACGGTTTGCGCGGGCACTCGTCGCCCGAAGCAGCGCGGCACCTCAACAACGAGGTGGACGAGGCGGTGGTCAACACTGTGTCGGATGTGTGCGTGAACAACTACGATATCGCCGCCGATTATTATCGCCTCAAGCGGGAGTTGTTGGGGTTGGATGAGTTGACGCACTACGATCGGTACGCCCCACTGCTCGGCGATCGCGGTAGCATCCCGTTCGATGAGGCACAAGGCATGGTGATGGATGCCTTCGGTCGGTTTTCACCGCAGTTGGCGGAAATAACAGAGCCGTTCTTTAGCAAACGCTGGATTGACGCTGAACTCCGTGCAGGCAAACGAGGGTGGTGCATATTGCGCGGGGGTCACGCCTGACCTGCACCCCTACGTTTTTATGAACTACACCGGTAAACCGCGCGATGTGATGACGCTGGCACATGAGTTAGGACACGGTATTCATGATGTACTCGCTAGCAAGCAGAACTTGCTCAACTATCACCCTGTCTTGCCACTGGCAGAGACCGCGAGCACCTTCGGAGAGATGTTGGTGTTCGACCGGTTGCAGTCCACGCTAGAATCGGCGGAGGAGCGGTTGGCACTGCTGTGTGGTAAAATCGAAGGCATCTTTGCTACCGTATTTCGTCAGATCGCCATGTATCGCTTTGAGCAGGAGGCACACCGCCTGCGCCGCGAAAAGGGCGAACAGACAACAGAAGCCTACTGTGAACTCTGGCAACGGATGATGCAAGAGATGTTTGGAGACTCGCTAACGTTGGGTGAAGACCATCAGTGGTGGTGGCTCTATATCCCACACGTTTTCCAACTGTCGTTTTACGTCTATGCCTATTCCTTCGGCGAGTTGCTGGTGTTGTCGCTCTATGCCCAGTACCAACGCGATGGCGAGTCGTTCGTACCTCGCTACTTCGATCTGTTGAGTGCCGGTTGCTCTGCGACGCCCAGCCAATTGGTCACTGATATGGGGATTGACATCGCTTCGCCTGACTTTTGGCAGGGCGGATGCGATTTAATCCGTGAAAAGGTGGAGCAGGCAAAGGCGTTAGCGGCAACCATGAAATAACATTTACAACCCAATCTATTCGGAGGAAAAACAATGCCAATTTATGAGTATCAATGCAAGACATGCCAGTCTAAATTTGAGATACTACAATCCATCAATGCGGATAACAGTGAACTTGTATGCCCCGATTGTGGTGCGGAAAAGCCGATGAAGGTTTTTTCCAGCTTTGCATCGATCGGAAATGGGAAAGCCGCAGCCTGTGACACAGGTTCGACATGAGCGATTCCCGGATTGGACAGTTAGTCCTAGGAAGTTCATTGGTTCACTAGTTCATTTAGCCCCAACAGGATGATAGGTGGCAACTTGGGTTAAGTTTTCTATACACGTGTCGCCCCGCCCCGATAAGATCCCCGATAAATCGAGACAGGCGGGATTCAAAGCAATATGCTTACTACTCTATAGGTAACTTGTGTTACAATAGCTGAAATTGGTTCACCCATTCTCCCCTATCTGCTCGGACAACGGGGATTACACGGCGGATCCTTATCTGAACAAGGAGGACTTCCCATGAACAATAAACCTGTTGGACTGTATCTAATCGGCGGTGTCGCTGGTTTTCTGAGCGGCGTATTGATGCTCGTATCAAGTTATATAGTCGTGGTACGTCTCCAAGATGCTGCTCTGGGGACACCGGCGTTGAAGTTGGTGGGAGTAACGCATGGATTAAGCGTCGTAAGTCTCATCCTGATTGTGCCAACGGTCATCGCGTTGTTTGTGTCACTCAGTACCAACGTGACAGCGCGCAGCTACCTTGGACTCGGTTTTGCGGCGATGTGGCTGGTCTTAGAGATGGTTGGTCACCTCTCTCAAACCGCCCCGCTTCGCACCTTGGGTGAGTTGCACGCCAATCACCCAACCCATGCAATGGCGATTTACCAAGTATCGGGAGAGTTTACGGAAGCACTGCTGCTGACCGGAACCTTCTTTGCTGCGCTCACCGCTTTATGCTACGGTCTCTCACTCATTGGTGGCTGGAACCGGTTGGCAGGATACATCTTCCTGATTGCTGTTCTCGCGTTCCCAATCGGGATGTGGATTCCTCAGCTCGGCATTCAACTCCATGTTGTCTTGCGTGCATTCGCTTTCTTGATTGTGAGCGGTGTTCTAATTAAAATTGCAGCGGCAGACGAGGATTGAGTATGGGAAACTTAAAAGTTGGTGCTGCGAAGATTGACATCACGCCGCCGCTCGGCTGCAACATGGCAGGATATGCGGGGCGAGACAGCGGCAGCGAAACAATCGCCGATGCACTCTACGCGAAAGCCATCGTATTTGACGATGGGGATACACAAGCTGCGATCATCACCAATGATTTGATTGGTGTAGAAGCGATATTTGTCGATCATGTTCGCCAAACAATTGAGGAGACGACAGGGATTCCGGCGGGCAACGTGATGGTCAGTTGCTCCCACACGCATTTCGGTCCTGAAGTCCGTGCATCACGCTCCACATCCCCTGATAATCCCAAGAATCGCATTTACGCCAACATGCTTGCACAGCAGCTCACGACGCTCACGCAACTCGCTCAACAGCGGCTTCAACCGGCACGGGTTGGCGCCGGACAGGGGATCGCGGATCAGGTCAGCTATAATCGGCACACGATTCGCCCAGACGGGAGTGCACAAACCAACTTTCGTCTCCCTGATCCCGATTCAGGTCTGACGTTCGGTCCCTATGATTCGACGGTGAGAGCCCTCCGCGTTGATAGCGTAACGGGGGAACTAGCGGCTTCTCTTATCCATTTCGCTTGCCACCCCGTTACCACAACAGATCGGATGTACACAATTAGCGCGGACTATCCGGGGTATGCAATGGAAGTAGTCGAGACAGGGGAGGGTGGAACATGTTTGTTTGGATTGGGCTGTGCAGGCAATATTGTTCCCTATCCAGCGTGAAGGCGAGTATCCGCGTATGATTGGCAGAACCATCGGGGGCGAGGCAATAAAGGTCTTGCAATGGATCGAGACTTCGGACGAGGTGAAGATACGGGTGGTGCACCAAAAACACTCCCTAGAACTGAAAGAAGCAATTGATGGAAAACATAACCGAGGAGATTGACCTCCAATGTATAGCGGTTGGATCCATTGATTTCATCGGACTGCCGGGTGAGATTTTCGTCGAGATCGGCTTTGACATCGTGAACCGAGCGCGACGGGAAAACCTGTTCGTTATGAGCATGACCAACGGAAGTATCGGCTATATTCCGGTCGAGATTGCCTACAAACAGGGTGGGTATGAATCCAATTCCTCCCGTTTTCGTCCCGGCTGCGGCGAACAGATTGCCGATGCAGCGGTGGAATTGTTAAATCGAATGAGATAGACTCAACACACAATTTTTTTCAAATTAAGAACTAGTGTTGTTTTCAAGGCTCTCAGTCATAAATTTTATGAATCGGTCGCATAGTTGTTGACGTTGTTTTATTTATACTCAATATTCTATTCGCTCAAGGGAGGGTCTCATGTACGCTCGGAAACAGTTGTTAATATGGACCGCTGTAATTTTTGTGTTAAATTTGGTATTATTAACTAAATTGCGCGATGATGCAGCAACCGCAAGAACACAGTTAGAAGAACTCACACCAACAGAACTCACACAGATAGACATCACAAATTTATTGGAATCAAATACTGTTACTTATAGTGAACAAGAAACTGAAGCGATATCATACGAAAGTCAATTCAGCGAAGCGAAAACCGAGGGATCCAGCGAACCATCACAACTCTCCTTGTCTCCTGAGAGTACCTCCGCGGGTTCAGTGGAGGTCTACTATGTGCACAAGGGGGATACCCTCTGGAAAATTTCAAGAAGACACAATCTTGATTTGCGTACTTTGCTAACCTATAACAAACTGAAAAACCCAAACCTCATTCGCCCTGGGCAAAGAATTGAAATCCCCCGCCGACATATCAATATGCAAGTAAGCCCATGAGCCATAAGCGCGAGAACGTGGAACCGGGGGTGGATTTCTACAGTTGAAACGTGGAAAAGATCATATACCATGAAAAATGAATTTCTCACAGCCGGTTATCGTTACTGTTTTATCTGCCTTTTATCAATTGCAATCGTGTGTAGCTCGGCTTCAGATGGTCACGCGCAGAGCTATTATCCAGATGACTTCGGGAATACTTGGGTTTTACGCAGCACCGACGGATTCGATGAGCGGGTAGTCACAATTGAGGGTCCCGAAACCATCGGCAATGAATTGGTGAAGGTCATTTCAGATCAGACAAATGACAATCCCAATAAGTTTTTTATCAAAACCGAACAGGGCGGGGTTCTAATATTCCGTGCCATCGCAACAGTTGCAGTGTTCGGCGAAATTACAATAAATTATTCCCCGCCCCAGACCTTCCTACCCAGCCCAATTGAATTGGGTTCAGAATGGATCGTGTCCGGCGAAGCCACAGCCTCACTTTTTGGGATTGAAATAAAAATAGAGGTGACTAACACCGCCAAAGTTGTCGATATCGAAGATGTCATTGGACCGGCGGGAACATTCCGAGACTCCTTGGAAGTTGAGCAGCAGCTTCAAATTCAATTATCGCCAGCCCTCGCTACAATTCCTTCAACAAGCAGCACCATGTGGCTTGCTCCCGATGTCGGTTTAGTGCAAGCCCTCAACAGCGACAATGTTAAGTTTGAACTCATCGACTACGACATAACCATTGATGGAAAAGAGGTCGCTGTACACCCAAAAGAGAAACTAGCGATGACGTGGGGCGCGTTGAAAAAGCGGTAAACGGAAAATCGAAAACTGGCACAGAAAAACAGATTGGAAAGCACAGATCCGGTTTTGCTTCTCCACAGTATTACCTCTCCAATTTCTGAATAGAACCTCCTCAACATTCCTTTCACCCTGATGTTCCCAGTAACCACTCTTTGCCGGCATTTTGCTGTCAGCAAAACGACAATCCCGTCCTTCTATACCTACCTTTTAGCACACCAAGCAAACCTACTTTTCCGCCAAGCCGTTTGTCGTTATAGCTTGATTTAACGTGAAGCAATCAGAGTATCTCTGTGTCCTCTGCGTCTCAGCGGTTAATTTTAGCCTGTAACCACTCCTCCCCAAAAATAAAACCAATCGACTCAGGTTAAAACTAGAGTGCAAAGATAGAAAAGAATGTGGTAAACTTATCAATACCGTTCTTTTTGCTCACGATCCTTGAAGGGTAGGCACAAGAATTGCTTCTAAGGTTTCTCTGGAATAGATGGCAACTTACGTTATATCACTCACAATCAATTGGAGAAACGACATGCTAAGGAAAACTTGGAGAAGAACACTGTGGCTCGTTTTTGTCGGTATAACCCTTTCCACTTCGGTTTTTGGACAGGGGGAATTGCCGCGTCTGGAGCAAACCGAATTTGATGCCCATGGGATGAACGAAACGCTGCTCCATGTCAGCGTTCCGGGGCGTTATAGTTTACAAGCCCAAAGCGATCAAGGCACGAAAATCGAAATTGTAGACGGATGGCGGGACCTTTCGCTGCCGCGGGGAGTGCCGGTGAACAGGATGGGCGGCTCGATCTGCTACTGGATAAGGGTATTTATAAAATTCGATTGCGGTCTCACGAAGAAGGCGTGGGCACACTGAAACTGGCTGTGCACCCGTTCGTAGAAATCGATTCGCCCGACAAACTCCTCTCACTCGATGCTTATCAAATCGAAAACAGTTCGCTAGAAGATCTGCAACAGCAGTCCTTCTGGCTGCATCTTAAAAAGACGGCGGATCCTGCGGCTTGAAGCAATCGGGCGAAACCTCAAAGATTGCCGTCTGTGGCGCGATGGGGTTTGGCTTGAGGATATAAAACCTTGCTTCTCAACCTATGAGCCGGTCAACGGTCAACCAATGGGCTACGCGGAATTTTATCATGACCTCAATCCGGGGATATACCGATTGACATTTTATGGTGGCGCAGCACTGGCGTGGGCTGACGATTCGAGGGAACACCCCTTCACCCTACGTATGGGATACCGCCGATTGGGATCAAGCGGCAAGCAGGTTATCACGCTCTCCTCTTTCGGTCGGGAGGCTTACGCGGTACCGGCGAAAACTGACTTCTTCCAGATTTCGCGAGCGGATAAAAAAGCGACAACGCTATGGGTGAGGCGGTGGGAGGATAAGAGGAGCCGTCATGGCGGCAGAGAGCGAGCAGCCATCACAAAGGAATCCCGCAATCCTTGGGCGGTTGTGCAGACAGGGGTGCAGAGGTGGGACAAATGGGTCACCGTTCAGGGAAGCCCCGGCGACAGGGTCGTTCTAACCTATTTCTCCAAAAAGCGCGAGGTCTTCTCCTTTTCCCAAAAAAGTGGGGATTATTGGATTTCCTCCCTGCATTCAGCAGAGGGACGTGATGCTATCGACGTTACGGGGATTCTGAGCCACCCGGAGCAGGCAACACCGGTGGGTTCACAGGTGTTGCCTGTTGGATTCAAGACGCCCTTGGTCACCGGGAAATTCAATCTGTTGGGTGACACTAGTCTGTTCCTCAAGTTGGAGGATGCCGGGACCTATGTGATTGAGGAGGATGAGGTATCTGGGGCAAGGGGACGTTACCGGATAGAACCCTTTATGGTGAGCCGCCCCAGAGACTATCGATCTCCGCCATTTCAGTCGCCGGGAAAAGCCCTGGAACTGACCCAAGGCTTCTATAAACTCACGATACAACCTGATGACTCGAAAGGGATTCTCTCATTCGTTCTACGCCAAACGGATACGGAGTCAGGTGATTTCCAGACGATCCCTCCACCCGCTCGGAAGCAGAGCTTATTGCTGCCCCAAGTCACCCTGCCTCAATATCGCGGGCAATACACGCTCCGGCTGAATCATCGGCACAATGTCACCACGGGGATAATTGTCCGCTCGTTGCCGATGGGTTTAGGCGATCCCCTGCCCGTGATTCTTAACCCAGGACAATCGGTTCCAGTCTATATTGATATAGGACAGCGTTCCACCCTTGTCATTGAAAGGGACAAAGAAACCCCTTTCCTTTTGACTACGGATACCGCCCGGTGGCCGGCGATAGCTGTTGATACAATCCTACCCACCGGTTTCTATCTGTTTGACCTAAAAAACTCAGGGACAGAGACAACACTCTTTACTTTACAGACGATTCCCGCCAAGTCAACTTCGGAATTGACGCTTGGGGAGCTAAAGACTCGGTTAAAGCAACCTGAGCCATTTCCGCAGCTCACCGAACAGAAACCGCTGTATGTCGACTTTAAGCGTAACCAAAAACAGCATTTCACCCTTATCGTGGAGGAACCGAGCCTTTACCGTTTGGAGACGAGCGGACGTCTGGCAACCCAGTTGACGGTGCGGACGGCACTTATCACCCAACTGTTTACCGCCAAGCAGAACGGCATCGGACGTAACGCCTTGGTGCAGCAGTATCTCAGACCCGGTGTGTATCAAATCACTGTGCAGACGCAGGGGACAATCTCGTGGACGGGCAGGAATTCATCTACGTCGGACACCTCTCAACCCCCAAGGGGAGCTTACCGCTGGATCGGTCAAAAAAGCGCGCTTACAACCGGACGCTGCTCTCCGATACACACTGACAATTGACGAACCCGGAAAGTACCGTCTGAACACCCTTGGCTTGGGTAAGGATTTCGCCTATCGTTTAGAGGATGAAGCGGAGTGGCCTCTGACCAAGCCCGGGAGCGGGAGAGTGGTGCTCCGACATTTCGAGCCGGGGGTCTATTATTACTATTCTCTGCCATTGCCGGTCGAATCTACGCGAATTACCGCTTTGACGCGAATCGCTGAGAACAGGAACGCGTCGGAAAAGGTCCCCATCCTATCCCCTTCAACGAAACGATTAAAATGATGTGGCGGGAAGAGGAGGGCAGACCGCCGGACATATTCACAACAGAAATCACGGCACCCGTTGATGTGACAATCAACCTAAGCGGTAGCATGGAGGGAGTGATTCGCCTTCGTGGGGAGGCAAGTGACGGAAGGATAATAACAGGGGGTAGCGCATGGCAGGATACGCTTCAGCCGGGACAGTACGAAATTGCATTGAAAAGTGCTAAGGAAAATAACCTGCTGCCCTACACCCTACGGATGGGAACGTCGCAACTCATCCCCGGCTTGCGACAACCTGTTGATCTACCAGCCGATCTAACCGTCCGTTTGGGAAAACCGGGAATCGTCGATCTCTTCAGCTTTGGTTCAACTGATGTGAAGGCTAGCCTATGGGATGAAACTGGGGCGCGGCTTTTGGCACATAATGATGACATGCCGAACGATTGGAATTTCCGTATTTCCCAGCGATTGGCTGCCGGACGTTATCTCCTGAAATTGGTCCCTGTTGGGCGTACTTACGACACCGTTCACGTCTCCATGGAGTTCCGCGAGCAGCACGCTCTCCCCGAACGCGGTTTTCCACCGTTTACAGTGGAGGAAAATCTTGGGGAAAAAGTGTTAGCTATTCCCTTCAGGATTGATAACACGAGTTCCCTCGTAGTGTTACCGTAAACGCCTCCCAACTCCCGACAGGAGATGGGGGTAGGCGAATTGGGTGTTGCTTTGCTGAAGGGACACACACACACTGTACGAGGGGACAATTGATGACGATCAAGACTCGGCGTTCTATATCCCTTTACAGGCGGAGACCTCCTATCAGATTTTGCTGTGGGGATTGGGGGATTTTGCGGGGGAAGTGACGTTAGATGTCGCTCCTGTTACGATCAAGCCGGTTTCCGTTTTGCGTGGACAGACTGAACTCCTGTGGCCTCCATACGCCGAACCGATCGCGCTGGAATTAACCGATGCTGATCAGAGCAGTTATTGGGCACACGAGAGCACCGGTGCGCTGCTGCGGTTCTCGTCTACGCTAGAGCGACCTTTTGGGACTGTGATGGATGCGCCGGTGGTGATGAATGATGGGCGAGGCTGGCTAATTTTGAACCCTTATGAGAAGACCCAACACCTTACCCTTGAACCCTTTGTGCTGTCAACTGGAACGGTTAAAACGGTTGAATTGGGGCAATTGCCGTTCGCCTTCGATCTGGAAAACGAAAATGATGGTCCCTTGTTACTGGAAGTGAACTCCATCGGGGGGCAGATTGGCGCGATGACTTATACTTCTGACGGTCAGTTTGGATCGAAATTTCACTGGCACGGGATGGGAATGGCACCATCGAAAACCGCCGCAGCGGTTCCGAGCAAAGGAAAATATCGCGCCAAAATCTGGCAAACGCGCGAAACAGTTGAGACAAAGAAGGTCCATCTTAGCACACACACCTTTCGGATGGAAGAACGGATACAGTTTGGTCAAGTGCGCTCATACGAGGGACCAATCAAGCCCGGCAGTGCCAAGGCCTTTGTACTAGATAAATCCAGTCAGACTTATGAGCTATTGCTCACCGGGGGTTTGGTCGCGTTCGTTTGGGATGGGAAACATGCGCGGGCACTCGTTGCCGCACACAGCAATATTCAGGAGTCGATCACTGTCCCCGGTGGGGAACTATTCATCGTCAACCGGGGCGACGAAGCAGGGTTATTCCGCGTCGAAAGGAAGAGAGAAATTGCAGAGACTGTGCAGGTCTTTGACCCAAAACAGGGCTTTGAAGGCGTTTTCGCCGAATCAGGCGCTGTGTCGTTGTTGATAGAGGAGGTAAAAGACCAGAAAGAACTTTTTGTAGCCGGGGATGCGGTGAGGGATCGCCTATTAGGGAACGATGGGATCATCCGTGAAGGCGAACGTTTTCAAGCAAGCCGGGCAAAGGGGACACTTGAACTCTCATACGGACCCGGCTACGTCAAGGTCTGGGAAGCTGACCCGCAGGAGAAAGATTTGGCTTTTATGGGCAAGAGACCTCGCAGGGTGAAAGGTCTCTCCGAGGGACTGGCAACGCTAGAACATCGATCTCAACGCTGGATGTTCGGTTTGGAGCGGCCTGCTTACATCATCGCTGATGCAGACGGACCAGGAGTAACGGCACTGCTAGCGGATCAAAAGATATTGGCTACGAGCATTGGCAGCAGCAACAAAGGTCGGCAGCTTCGTTATTTTCTACCGCAGGGGGATTATCAACTCTGGACACGCCCATTGGAAGGCACAACGCAGACGGGGAATATCCGCTTGTTGAAGGTTTTTCCGAAGCCGCTCAATACCGCATCTGACAGTCCCCGGTTAATTCGCCCCGGTGAGATCCAAGTTTTCGCGTTTAGTGTGACTGTGAAGGGAAAGGTCGGTGTTGGCATCCGTACGGAGAGTGACGAGCTGGACGCCAAACTTTTCGATAGCCAATTTAAGTTGTTAGCATCTAGTCCCGTGATGATTGAAGAACTGGAACTTGGGGAATATCTGCTGACGGTTGAAACAATCCCACAGGCACTTGCACCGATTCAATATACCCCTGTGGTGCTTGGACATACCGGGGGTAGGCAGGAGATACCGGAGGAGTCATCGGTGAATATTTGACCCAAACCGCCGGGGAGGAGTAGTAATTTACGAAGAACATGATTAACCCATTACCCCGCTCACGCATCATTCAATACCATGCCAACAATTATGATTATCGCCGGTGAACCGTCCGGCGATCTCCAAGCCTCCCGTGTGGCTGCTGAACTCAAAGAAATCGCCCCCGATTTAGCACTATTTGGCATGGGAGGCGATCTGATGGCGGAAGCGGGGGTTGAACTCATCTATCATATCCGCGACTCTGCGGTGATGGGAATCGGTGAAGTATTTACCGCTATCCCTGCGTTCCTGAAGAAGCGCGAACACCTCAAACATCTGATCCGTACAAAGCGTCCCGACGCTGTAGTATTGGTCGATTTCGGCGATTTCAACATGCCTTTGGCACGTTTCGCACATGGTCTGGGAATTCCGGTCATCTACTACATTCCCCCCAAGGCTTGGGCATGGCGTCCGAACCGTGCGAAAAAGATCGCCAAAACGACAACCGCTGTCGCGTCAATCTTCCCATTTGCAGCGGATTTTTACCGGGAGGCTGGGGCAAATGTGGAGTTTGTCGGGCATCCGTTGTTGGACTTTGCTCGAACCGATCTGAGTGGTGCGGAAGCCCGTCGTGTACTTGGTTTGGGCGCAGATCGCCCTGTGCTTGGGCTAATGCCGGGCAGCCGCCGCCGAGAAGTGGAGCGGCTCCTGCCGGTGATGTTGGAGGTCACGGATCAGATACATCAGGCTGTGCCAGATTGTCAATTTGTTCTTCCACTTGCGCCCGGTATTGATTCGGGACGCTGCCAGAGATGCCGTTGGTCAGGTTGTGAGGGGAAGTGTATATGAAACCATGCGGGCATCAGATTTGATGCTAGTTGCATCGGGTACGGCGACCCTCGAAGCAGCGTGCTTAGGCACACCGATGATTGTGGTTTACAAGATGTCGAGGTTATCATGGCACATCCTCAGAAAACTCGTTAAACTGGAACTCAGTGGATTGCCCAATGTCATTGCAGGACGCGAAATTGTTCCAGAACTGCTCCAAAACCAAGTGACAACAAAGCGCATCACGCCCATCGCCCTTGAGCTGCTGCAGAACCCCGAAAAGCGAGAAGCGCAGCAAGAAACCCTGCGCTGGGTGTATGAACAGCTAGGGGAGCCCGGCGCAGCGAAGCGAACCGCTCAGTTGATACTGAGCCACATCCAATGAGGAGAATTAAATGATTGATGAAAGTTGGTACAAACGCCCGCCCGGCGTTAGTGATCGGACATCTGCGGGTGGTATCGTTGCACGGATAGAAGATGGGCGAATCTATGTCGCTCTTGTCGGGGAACTTGGCTTGACAGAGCGCGTTTTGCCGAAGGGTGGTGTAGAACCCGGCGAAAGTTTAGAAGAGGCGGCTCGCAGGGAAATCGAAGAGGAGGCAGGCTTATCTTCACTAGAACTATTGAAGAACTCGGCGTTCGAGAGCGCCTCTCGTATGATAGAGTTGCTGGATTACAACTCACTATTTCCTCTTTGTCACAGAACAGGTAGAGGGTATTCCAACCGATGTCGAACACCACTACGAACTTGCGTGGCATCCAATCGGAGCCCTCCCGGCGATATTTTGGCCAGAACAACGGGAACTGATAGAAACAAACCGTGATAAGATTGTTGGGCTTATCAAACAAAATCACCCATGAAGGATTATCTGTACGCTATCATTACGGGCAGAACGACGGGGATTATTCCGTCCCTTCTGATCGGCTTGCTGACTCCACTAAGTTATATCTACGCCGCTGGTCCTCAAGACGCGTGGTTGGCTCTACGATTGCGGGACTTCTGAAACAAAAACAACTCCCTTGCACAGTGATTAGCGTCGGAAATATCGTCGCCGGCGGCACGGGCAAAACACCGGCGGTTATTTGGATAGCGAAGTATCTGCAAAGCGAAGGATTTCAGGTCGGGGTGCTCCTGCGCGGTTACAAGCGAGCAGGTCATCATTCGATCTCGGTTGTATCCGATGGGAAACAGATTTTGACGCCTGTGACAGAGAGTGGCGATGAGGCTGGGATGATAGCCCGCAAGCTACCGGGTGTTTCCATCGTGATTGGGAGTGATCGCTATGCTGCGGGGCTTGAAGTGATTCGGCTTTGGGGGCACACGGAAGGCGTACTTATCTTGGACGATGGCTTTCAGCGGCGACAGTTGGCACGAGATTTGGACATCCTTACAATTGACAGCACTCAGCCCTTTGGCACAGGAAAACTGCTCCCGGCAGGAACGCTACGCGAACCGAAAACTGCTTTGAGACGAACAGATATTCTCTTGCTGACGAGGACAGACCTTGCGGCAGAACCTGTCAACTTTAAGCGGTTTGTAAGAGGGAAACAGGTTTTCCAGACCTGTCACCAACCCACAAGGTTGTATCAACTGAGTACCGGTGAAGAATGTGAGCTAGAGCTGTTAAAAGGGCAGCACATCCTTGCGGTATGTGGAATCGGTAACCCTGAAGCCTTTGTTGGAACGCTTCGCCAGTTTGAACCGAAGGCTGTGGAACTTCTCGCGTTTCCCGACCATCATCGCTACGCGTCGGCAGATCTCAAGGATATTAACGCGAGGGCAGGTGAAGTTGGGGTAGATCTGATTGTGACAACTGAGAAGGATTCGCAGAAACTGGAAGCCTTTGCAGCAGCAACGCAGTTTGTTGTGTTAGAAATTGAACTCGAAGTTAAGACGAACTTAGAAGCCTTAAAAAAACGGTTAAAGCAGGTCATTACTGAATCGCGATCAGAAATGTAAGGATTAATTTATATTGGAAACATTGAAAGTCCTTCACACCGATAATCATCTCCTTGTCGTCCGTAAGCCGGCGGGCATGTTGGTACAAGGCGATCGCACCGGCGATACGTCACTTTTGGATTATGCCCGGGAATATATAAAAGATAAGTTCAACAAGCCCGGCAATGTTTATTTGGGCCTTGTCCATCGCCTTGACCGACCGACATCGGGCGTCGTTGTGCTCGCGCTGACCTCCAAAGCGGCGAAGCGGTTGTCTGAGCAGTTTCGGGTGGGAAGTGTCCGAAAAATTTACTGGGCACTTGTCGAAGGCAAAACGCCAAGTAACGGGACGTTGGTAGATCGGATCCATCGCCACGGCATCACAAGTCATATAGTCAGAGGAGATGGCGGTCAACGTGCGGAGTTATCCTTCCGTCGGCTTCGGTATCACAAAGGTGTGTCTTGGGTTGAGATTGAACTTGCAACAGGTAGGCATCACCAGATCCGTGTACAATTTTCACATCGTGGTTATCCAGTGATTGGCGATTTTCGGTACGGCTCTAAGGTCAAATTTGGACAGAAAGTGTTGGCTTTACACGCCCGTTCGCTTACTATCAGTCACCCAACACGAAAAGAAGAGATGACCTTTTTAGCGGAGCTAGAGTCTTTCTGGCCTAGACAGTTTAGGACTTTGTGACATTTATGTTCCAGATTAGTAATCCCCTGTTTTTTTTCCTTCTCGGTATCATCCCAATCTTGCTAATTATTAACCGTTACACGCGCATTGAAGCAGCACGGTGGCGGAAGGTTGGGACCCTCCTACTGCGCCTTGGTGCGGTGCTCTGCCTCATCTTGGCATTAGTCGGTTTGCAGCAGAAAGACCAAGAAGATATTCTCTCTGTCGTGTTCCTCCTCGATGTATCTGACAGCGTTCCAACTGTACAGCAGAAAGCAGGAATAGAGCAGATTAACACAGCCCTCGACGCGCTCAAGCCCACCGACCTATTCAGCGTCATTCTGTTCGCAGGGGGAGCTGCGGTGAGCGTGCTGAATCAGCGAAAGCAGCGCAACCTCATTTAACAGAAGAGATTTTATCTGGTGCAGAAATTAACCGTATGGCGACCAATTCGCGGGAGCAATTCAACTGGGGCTGAACCTACCGACCGGCGAGCAGGTAGGAGAAAAGCGGTTGGTGTTGCTGAGTGATGGCGTTCAAAACGTCGGTGAGGTGACGGATTTACTTGACCTCGTCCGGGCGAGTGAAATTGAGGTTTTCACGCTTCCACTGTCGTCCGAGCGGGAATATGAAGTTTGGGTGAGAACGCTGGAAACCCCATCGCAGGTGCGGGCGGGCGAAACTTTCCCGGTTCATGCGATTGTCGAAACGACAACAGATACAGAGGTTCAAGTCAGACTTTACCGCAACGACACTCCCGTAACTGAACCTCAAATGATAGCCTTGAAACAGGGAAAGCAGCCAATTGACTTTCCGCAACAAATCTCTGAGGAAAATGTCTATAAGTATCGAATCGAGCTCTCCGTCGATAACTCCACCGGCGATAATCCCGAAAACAACACAGGGTATGGCGTCACCCGTGTTTATGGAACGCCACATATCCTGTATATTGAGGGAGATGCCGGACAGGCAGAAGCATTGAAGACCGTCCTTGAGATGAACGGTCTGGCAGTTGAAGTCCTCTCCCCCTCCGAATTTCCGACCGATCTTGTCGCGCTCCAAAACAGCGATGCCATAATTTTAAGCAATGTCTCCGCCGATGAACTTTCCACCCTTCAGATGGAGCACATCGCAAAGCTATGTTCGCGATCTGGGGAGAGGATTGGTCGTAATTGGCGGGGACCGCGCTTTCGGCAGGGGCGGGTATCACGACACACCGTTAGAGACAGGTGTCCCCCCTTGAGATGACGCCTCGGCAGAAAAAAGAATCCCTTGCGTTGATGCTTGTTGTTGATGCCTCTGGAAGTATGGCAAACTATATCGGTCCGGATCAGAAAATCCAGTTGGCACTTGAGGGGGTGCGTGCCTCCATTCGTGCGCTCGATGATGAAGACCGCGTCGGGGTGATAGCCTTCGCCGCGAAAATCAGGATGGATCACCCACCAACAACCGCACACGACGAGATACTCCGTGAAGTTGGAAAGTTGCGTCCCGGCAGTGGCACGAAGATGTATCCCGCACTGGAAAGGGCTTATGAACGACTCCAAACCGTTGATGCGAAACAGAAACATATTCTGCTCCTGTCAGACGGCAAATCGGAAGGCGATTTTATTCCACTGGCGAAACGGATTACAGCGGATAAGATGACCCTCTCGACTATCGCCATTGGTGACGCGGATCGAGAGCTGATGAAATCAATTGCCGAAGCGGGCGGGGGCGGATACCGAGATGTTCGGAACATCAGCGAACTGCCCAAGATCATGGCTGACGAGGTGCGTCAGACCCAGAAATATACCGTTCAAGAGCCATTTCAGCCAATCATTAATGATGGAGATTACCCAATGTTAGCGGGGATTGATCGTGTGCCAAAACTCTACGGCTACATTGCCACCTCAGAAAAGGAACTCGCACAAACCTACATTCATTCCCATGAAGACCACCCAATCCTCGCTGGGTGGAATTACGGACTTGGTAGATCTGTAGCCTTTACCTCTGATGTGAAGCCGGGTTGGGGAGCGGCTTGGATTGAGTGGGAGAATTTTGGGAAATTTTGGGGGCAGATTGTTAATTGGGTGTTACCATCAACAGACGAAGCAGCGGATTTTGATTTGAACGCAACTCACCAGAACGGTAAGGGCGAGCTACTCATAGATACGGCATCAACCATAGCAACGCACGGAATCACATTCGATGCGCGTATCGCCCGTCCCAACGCCGGGGGGAGAGGTAGTTGAACTGCGTCGCGTGACACCGACGCAATATTCGGGAGAATTCCCCGTGCGAGAGCGCGGATCGTATCTTGTCACTGTCCAAAAAAACCGAGATGGGCAGGTCGAAAGCACTGCTTATGAAACCTTGTTCTCTCCTACCCCACAGAGTTTGCCGAATTTGAGACGAATCGTCGGTTGCTCAATGAACTTGCCAGCCGAACCAACGGAATTTTTGAGCCATCACCGAAACAGATCGCTCAACACCGTGGGACAGCGATTGAACATCTGAAACCGCTATCGTTTACTCTGTTGATAGTAAGCCTGATTCTATTCGTCTTTGAGATGATCCTGCGTCGTTTCAGCATTGCGAGCGGCTATCTTGCGGAACTCAAAGCACAATTAAAGTCGCTTCGCCGCCGAGAGGACCACGCATCATCGCTAACACTTTCACGCTTGAGGCAAAAGAAGGCAGCCCTAACAGAGGAGACATCAACAGCGTCCAGTGATTTCGCTCCCTCCCCGGCATCTCAACTTGGGTATCAGCGTAGGAGCGAATCAGATTCGGTGTCGGGGAGACACACATCGGCAGCTCCACAATCTACAGCGACAGATAACATAGGAAAACTGTTGCAAGCGAAAAGTCGGGCACATAAAAATGAACCATCAACATAAATCCGTCTTAAAATTCAGGATTTTGTCCTTGCACCTTGCTGTAGGAACGGCAGGTCCAAGGCAACAACCTTGCAAAGGAGAACGGTATGAAAGCATCGTTTTGCACGAATGCCTTTGGCAATACGCAGCAGGATATTGAACAAGCCATCCCGCAGTTGGCGCAGATGGGATACGACGGGTTGGAGTTTTGGGAACAGTACCTCTCCAGCGCAGATCTAAAGTGGCTTAAAGGGATAATGGACGCACACCACCTCGAAATTGTCCAGATCTGCCCATATTTTGACTTCACCACAAGTTCGGAGACATGGGAACAGAGTATCCGGGATGCAGAGCGATATATCGAGTATGCGATTCAGTTGGGAGGTCCCTTCATCCGCACGTACACCGGCAATGTGGGCAGTGCCGATGCCACAGCGGAGCAGTGGGATGCCTGCGTGAACGGGTTACAGCGGATCTGTGAGATGGGTATGCCGCACGGCATTGTGTTTCCGCTCGAAACCCATCAGGTTATCCATTCAGGACCGAACCTGACAGACACCAGTCCAACCACGCTCAAGCTGTTAGCCGATGTAGGTATGGAAAATCTGACGGTGAACATCCAGACACCCCTGTTAGGCGAGTCGGTCTTCGAGACAGCGGCGCAGTTGGGTCCCCATGTTGTTCATGTTCATGCACACAATTGGATTGGAAATTGGCCCAATCTAACATTTCTGGATACCGGGGATGAGGATTTTACGGAGTTTGCGCGGATATTGAAGGATAAGGGTTTTGATGGCTATATTTCTATCGAACATGGCAGCCATCACCCACCCTACGAAACGGCAGCCCATGAAATCGAATATCTGAAACGACTGATTTCTGGTGCGCTTTGGGAATAGGACATAACGTCGAGAACTCGATTGGCTGTTGAACACCGCACGAATTCCCGATTATTGTGTTGCAGCTTGGAGAGAGAAAGTCACCGAAATCACCATTACGGGTGCAGCCCTAGCGGCAATTCGCAGGAAGGAGAAACCGTGATAAGAAAATATCAACCATCAGATCTTGAAACGCTACGGCAAATCACCGCAATTTGTTTCGAGGGAGTTTCAATCGATAAGAATATCGAAGACAAGTTCGGCATTATTAATGAACTCGATTGGAAACAGCGCAAGATGCCGCACATTAACGATGATGTAGAAGCAAATGCGGACGGTGTGTTCGTCGCAGAGATTGACGGAGAGGTGGCAGGTTATATCACCGCCTATGTCAATCATCGGACAAAAATTGGCGGTATCCCAAACCTGTCTGTGCACCCAAACTTCCAACAGCGAGGGTTGGGAACAGAATTGATTGAGACAGCATTGGTATATCTCAAAGAGGAAGGGATGCTTTACGCACGGATTGAGACGCTGGACCAGAATCAGATTGGAACGGCATTTTATCCCAAGATGGGCTTTGTCGAAATTGCCCGGCAGGTTCACTATATACGATCGCTATGACCCAGACAGGTCGCCCCGCTGGGGCTCGGGAGAATTGGTTTGCCGATGTTCTATACACATATCGCCCCGCTGGGGCTACTGAGGAACAATACGTCTCCGTTCCGATAAGAGAAACCGTCTGGACACCTATTGAATGTACAGGGGCTGGGTCTGCCAACCTGTTGGGCGAGGCAACCTCGCCCCTACGCTAGGTTCCTACGATTGGGTACACATTGGTATCAAGCACTGCCATGCCTTGAATCACGGACACGCCCAGGAATGTCAACACGCTCTAGCAACTTGGGTTAGTAGTAAACGATAACAAGAGGTAATCAAAAGCAAATTTAGGGCTTTTTTAGAGATCTACTGTTGTAGATGATGCGAGGACTGCTTCAACTCCACCCGTTTTGATAAGCTGGATTGCGTCTAGTAACTGGTTGTCATTGACGAGATCGATCAATGGATCAAGACCGACATTTCTGTTGAAGAAGGCATTTGCCTCGTTCTTGATAATCTCCATATCAAGTGTGATATTGTGTTCCGCAAGTGTCGTCATTAAGTCTGGGAGCTCTGCCTCCAACTGAGAGAAATCTTTGGGAGTTTTCCCCATCTCCTTCTCTGTCCGTTCGATCCACTCCTCAACAAACGTTTCGACATATTTCCTCGCATACAACCGCATCGCCGCTGTTACTTCATCAAGTTTGCTCATCTCGACCTCAACGTTTGGCTCAATCCCGGTTTCATTAATCGAGACGCCGCTCGGTGTGTAATAAGTCGAGATTGTGAGTGATACTGCGCCTTTTTTGTCTAAGCTGTTCAAAGGAAACCGTTGCTGAACAACACCTTTGCCGAAAGTTTTCTTGCCGAGGATGGCTCCCCGCTTGGAATCCTTGATGGCGCCTGCGACAATTTCAGAACCGCTCGCGCTATACTCATTCACAAGCACAACTAGCTCGATCTCGGCTGGACAAAGTGTTTCAGGCGTTGCCGGATACTCTTGGTTGTATCTATTAAGTCGTCCTTGTGTTGACACAATATTTCCCCTAGAGATAAAGGCATCAGCCACGTCGTAGGCAGCTTGAAGCAATCCTCCCGAATTGTGTCGGAGATCCAGAATCAGTGCCGTCATCGCTCCGTCTTCAGCATCAAGTAAGGTCTTTAGTGCCTTCTTAAACTCTTCAACGGTTCTGCCGGTGAAGCTCTCAATTTTTATATAACCGATTCCGTCCTCTAGCATCGTTTGCTTAACGCTAGTGATTTTAATTTCCTCACGGATTAATGTCACATCAAATGGATCCGAATGTCCTCGTCGCTGCACCGTAACGGTGACCTCTGTGCCAATTAATCCTCTTAAAATATCAACGACTTCTGCAAGCGTTTGTCCGCCCGCACTGATATGAATCGGCTCTCCATCGACTTTGGTTATGTAATCACCAGCTTGCAGTCCCACTCGCATTGCTGGGGTATTGGGCAGGGGCCGAGCAATTTTTATAAAACCTTTATCCTCATAAATCCGAATACCCAGTCCGCCAAATTTTGCATGGTAAAGATTCTCCTCTTCGCGTTTCTGATCCACCGGCGGCAGGTAGAAAGTATAGGGATCGTCCAGAGCGGTAAGTGCACCTTTGATCGCCCCTTCAAACATTTCCTGTTGATCGACGTCTTCGTAGTAATGAACATCTGCCTTTCTAATGGCCTCTATTAAAGCCTTCTGCAACATGAGACTGTTCCTACCGTCGCGATCACTTAGCGCAGTTTTCTGTCCTAGCGGAACGAGAAAGAGCGCGATGATGACAGCAGCCCCTAAAATTGCGATAGGCAAAGTATGTTTTCTATATTGAACCATGAATCCCCCTCATGTTTGTTGTTGTTTGATTAGGCGCAGCGTTTGGTTAGGTTTGATTTTATCTAATCATCTCGCTTGTATAATTATAACATGACTCGCGAGATGCTGCAAGAAGTTAAAAGTGACTCTCTTTTAACTTCAACTAAAGTCTAGAGATGCAGGTGAATGAGCGGTTTCACCGTCACGTGAGAGTAGGTTTGCTCCGAGACCGTATCGGAAAAGAACGGATCGCAAAATGTATCAAGGCAGGCTAGGAATTCGGGGAGATTCATACCCATGTACATCCCTGTCGGATCGTCGAGATTGGTTAGCACTTGGTGTAGCTTGTTCCGTCCATTGGTTGAAAGGCTACGCAGCCCACGCAGTTGTCGCATGTGATATTTAATCAGTGCCGCCGAAATTTGAATTAACCCCTGCAGAAACAGCCGACAATCATCCTCTGTTTTATTCCAAAGCCCCTCCCACGCCTCATGAGCTTCCCACCAGTAGGCGAAATTGTAGAGATCGACTCCATATAGATAATCCTCAGTTTGACGCCAATCCCTAGGCAGGGCAACCGGATTATCGTCGTCCTCCAAGCCGTAGCTATGCCCTTGTGGATCTCTGATCGGATGCGGCGTGGTCCCCGGCACATGTCGATAGGGAGGGAAAGGACGCTGCGGACAATATCGGATTTCATCTGGATCAAATGGCTGCGGTTGCTCTATGGGCTGCGCTTCCTCAAGAACCGATGGAACCGTTATTTTCTGTTTTGAACCTCTGAAAAATTTAGGGATTTTTAGTTTCATAATTAAAATTGTGATACAGTGATAGGGTTTGTCGGCATCTTTATTGTATCATATTTGGGACCAATTTTACAGGTGGTAATAGATGTATCAGTTTCAGGTGGCTGCAGTGTGTAAACTCTACCGTTTTTTGATAGCATTCTCCGCTCAATTTGTGATAACATCCTCGCTATAGGTTTGATGGGACAAATCGTTTCAGAAACCATAACCAATCGAGATTAAGCGGAAACAAAACAGTCAGAGAGCCAGAGGAGATAGCAATGAAAACAGACATCTATGTGGTCAGACTCAGTGATGGAGAGCGCGTCGGAGAAGAGGTTAAGCCTCTCCTCGCTCCAGTGGATATGGGAAGCATTGGTCACTTTGCGGTATCCAAAGATCAGCCAACAGAATTACACTATCATGATTTCGATGAGTATTGGTACTTTACGGAAGGTACAACGACTGTTACCTTACGCACCCCTGATGGCACAAGTCAATCGTATCAGATTGGACCGGGCGATTTGGTCGTAACTCCTAAAGGGGTGGAGCATGGACATATTCCCGACGACACCGTAAAAGGGATTCAGTGGGTCAGTGTCATTCCCCCGGAGGCGCGTCGCGGACATTTACACCGAGAACTTTGACGTACTCCCAAACCTAAAGGATTGGGCTTCTTACGAGTCCCTTCCCAATAGGAGTCGAATTGTGCTATCAACAAGGATTGCCCGACGAATCGGGGCTTACGTCCTCTCCTTCATGGGTTGACGCCCCAACCCGAAAAATGTTAATTGCAGCGTTGCGGTCTCGGTCATGCACCGTGCCACAATCGTTACACTGCCAATTTCTATCCCGCAGATTCAACGCTTCATTAACAGCACCACAAACCGAGCAAGTTTTACTGGAGGGATACCACTTATCAATGCACACGATTTTTACACCCTTTTTCGCTGCGATGTATTTCAACTTCAAAACGAAATCGGCAAACCCCAGATCACTGACCTTACGCCCCCAGAGGGCTTTCATGCCCTGTAGGTTTAACGCCTCAAGGCGTATCTCGTCGTATTCATCAGTGAGTTGGTGTGCAAGTTTCCAGTGGAAATCCTCTCGTTGGTTCGCTATTTTGCGGTGCTTCCGTGCTAAGTCCAATCGAGCCCGTTCTCTATTACGACTCCGTTTCTTCTTTCGAGAATGGTTACGATTGGCACGTTTGATAGCGTTGAGACTCCGTTTGAAAAACTCAGGTGAGTTTATATCATGTCCATTATGACCTGTAAGATACCTTTTGAGACCGAAATCAAACCCCGCGATTTTACCCGTCGTGAGTCGATTGAGGTCAGGTTCTACATAGTCCGTTAGAATCGTGATATAGACATCACCTACAGCGTCCCGTTTAATGGTGCAACGTTTCGGATTGCCAAATATATCACGAGACTTAAAGTATTGGTAGACACACTTGCCAATACGAATCTTGTTACTGTTAAGCAATTCCCAACCCGCTTGAAGCAGTGTGAATGACTTGTATTTGCGTCGAGGCTTAAAACGAGGTCTCCCCCACGGCTTGCCTTTAGCACGGGCTTCAAACATTGCCTTATAGCCTTTGTCAATACGGGAGACCACGTCTTGAATTGCTTGGCTTGGCAGTTGATTCCAATGGGCAAAGCGTTGGGTTCGTTTCAGTTTAGATATATGATTTATCAACCGAAACTTGCTGATATACTTGCCATAGATGGAATAGTACCGACGCTCAAGCGCAACGCAGTGATTCCACACATGAGCATGACCGCCTATGGTCTTGTGCAATTCACGATTGCCATGATTACTATACAACTTGAATTTGTAGATTTTCATTAGGGACTGTCTTTCTGTCTTTCATGCCCATGCTACTGGAGTATGGGAGACCCTATCGTGCGATAGGGGTAGCATTCTCCCACGAAAGACAATACAAGCATACTATATTTTACCTGCAAATTCAATGCTAAAGCTGTCTGTATCCAAAACATAAATGTTTGGGTTTTAGACCTAAAGGTTTTTTAGATAATCGATAAGGAGCAACCATGACAGATCAAGGTGCAGCACTGCCTCGTCGTCGGTTGGGGCGTACAGATTTAGAAGTAACCGCGCTTAGTATGGGCGGCGCAGGTGTTGGGCGCGACAATGTATCAGATGATGAAGCGATTGAGGCGGTACATCGGGCGATAGAACTGGGAATGAACTACCTCGATACAGCACCGCTGTATGGTGCCTGCGAAAGCGAAAGACGGATTGGGCTTGCGTTGGCTGGCGGTTGGCGTGAGAAGATCTACTTGGCGACGAAAATAGGGACGCACCCGGAATGGCGTGGCGATTTTTCGGCATCAACAACGCGCAGAAGCGTTGAAAATAGCCTTCGTTTGCTGAGTACAGACTATCTGGATGTGTGCCTCGTTCATGATCCGGACAGCATGGACCCTGTGATTGCAAAGAGTGGAGCATTTGAGGAACTTCAGCGGATGCGCGAAGAAGGGCTGCTACGCTTTATTGGGCTAGGCGTCCGTGAACACGAGTTTCACCGTATCGCCATCGAAACCGGCGTTGTGGATGTGATCCTGACTTTCCTCGATTACACGCTACTGAGCCAGACCGCTGCTGAGAACTTGTTGCCCTTTGCAGCAAAACATGATATTGGGGTTATCAACGGCAGCCCAATCGCGATGGGATTGCTCTCCGGCGTTGAACCGGACGTGACCGATCGACCACCGGAGGGAGAACAAGCGCATCAACTTTGGCAGTGGGCGACAGAAAATAATCAGAATCTGCTCAATTTAGCGATCCAATTCTGTCTGCGTCAACCGCTTATCCATATGAGTCTAACAGGGTCTAAAGACGCAGCGGAGGTTGAACAGAATTTTGCTGCGGCAACCACGCCGGTGCCGGAGGAGATCTGGGAGCAATTGGCAACTGTGATATAAGAATTTAATCTTTGAATTTCTTCACCTATGGGAGATGCTAATGTCTGCTTATGATGTTGCTATAATTGGAGGGGGACCGGGCGGTTATGTTGCGGCGATCAAGGCTGCTCAGTTAGGGGGCAAAGTCTACTTAATCGAAAAGGGGGAATGGGGCGGAACCTGCCTGAACCGGGGGTGTATCCCGACCAAAACGCTGTTTTCGGTGGCGCACCTCGCTACGCAAATTCGGGAGGCAGAGGGATTCGGCATCAAGATTAGCGGCGCGGAGATAGATTATTCGCAGGTGCTAGGACACAAGGAGGCTACTGTCAAAAAGCTAACCGGCGGTATCGCACAGCTGCTCAAAAGGAACGGGGTTCACACAGTCAACGGAACCGGTGTCCTCACCGCGAAAGATAGGATAGAAGTGACGAAAGCGGACGGCACACAGGAGCAGATTGAAGCGAATCAGATTATCATCGCCACCGGTTCTGAGCCCGCGAATATTCCTCTCTTTGAGATCGATGAACAACAGGTGCTGACGACGACGGGGATTCTGGAATTGACGGACCTTCCTAAGAGTATCATCATTGTCGGCGGTGGTGTCGCCGGTTGTGAGTTTGCCTCGATCTTCAACGGATTGGGCTGCGATATCACTATCCTTGAATTGTTACCGACGATTCTCGCTACGGAAGATACACAGATTGTCCGGCAGCTCCGTCTTTTGATGAGACGGAAAGGCATTGAAATCAAGACAGACACCAATGTAACGGGTGTGGATAAATCGGAATCCGGTGTAACCGCAACGCTGGAATCCGGCGAAAGTTTCAGCGCGGAAAAGATGTTGATCTCTATCGGCAGGAGTTTCAACTCGGAAGGGATTGGGTTGGAAACTGTCGGCGTTCGTACGGATAGAGGTAAGATTGTTGTCAATGAACGGATGGAGACCAATGTGCCGGGCATCTACGCCGTTGGCGATGTGGCGAGCCGGTATCTGTTGGCACATGTTGCATCGGCGGAGGGGATTGTCGCTGCGCAAAACTGCATGGGCGGCGAAGCGGAGATGGATTACAGCACTATACCGTGGTGCGTTTTCACAATTCCCGAAATCGCCAGATGCGGTATGACGGAGGCGCAAGCCGAAGCAGAGGGTTACGCTGTTAAGGTTGGACGATTCCCTTTATGCAGCAAGCGGTAAGGCGTTGGGAATGCGTGAGACAGATGGATTCGCCAAGGTTATCTCAGACCAAGAATTTGGCGATATTCTCGGCGTCCATATCCTTGGCGCACACGCTTCAGACCTGATCCATGAAGCCGTCGTTGCTATCCGTATGGAGGCGTCGGTTGCCGATTTGGCGCACACGATTCACGCGCACCCAACCCTTGCGGAAGCTGTTATGGAGTCTGCTGAAGCAGCTCATGACCGCGCCATTCATATTTTCTAGTGCAAGTTACCATCGAGAATAGTTCCCAATATATCATACATAATCCAATGTGACACATGTCGCCCCTCTGGGGCTTGGGGAAATTGGTTTGCCGATGTGCTATACACATATCGCCCCTCTGGGGCTTTAAGAGGTTACGGCATACGGAGTATGCCTACTACTATATTTACTGTACTGCACCATGTCAAAGTCTCAAGTTTTCCACTTTGCCCCTTTCAGGGAAGGTGCGTCTAACACGGACCTCCCTCCAAACGATGTTAGGCTTGACCGCTTTATCGAAGCACAGCTTCCAGAGCAGGTGGAGACAGAGACGGATGTGTCGTCCTTCTTTTCCCTGTCCAGAACATACATTCAAAAATTGATTCGAGAATGTGCCATAACCGTAAACGGCAAACCGTCCAAGCCCGGCTACAAGCTCCGAACCGGCGATCAGATTTCTCTCACGCTTCCCGCCCCGCGTCCCCTTCAGACAATTGAACCGGAACCCATTCCACTTGATATCCTGTATGAAGATTCCGCTCTGGTTGTCGTGAATAAGCCGGCTGGTATGACCGTTCACCCCGCCGGTGATGCCCAATCCGGCACGCTTGTCAATGCACTGCTTAACCACTGTGAAACTCTCCCCGGTATTGGCGGTGTTCAACGCCCCGGCATCGTGCATCGTCTCGACAAGGACACCTCCGGCGTGATTGTCGCCGCAAAGACAGATCACGCACATCGGCACCTTTCGGCTCAGTTTGAGGCACACACCACGACACGCCACTACTACGCTGTGGTTTGCGGTGTCCCCTCCAACGAAACGGGAGCCATCAATGCCCGCATCATCCGAAGTCCAAGAGATAAGCGGAAGATAACAGTAACAGGGACTGGTGGTCGTCATGCGGTCACTCACTATCATCTCCTTGAACGGTATGACCGGTTCTCCCTCCTCAAGCTAACATTGGAAACGGGACGTATTCACCAGATCCGCGTCCATCTCAGCCATATCGGACATCCCGTTGCCGGCGATCATGTCTACGGGGGTGGCTACGCTCGCGCCATCCACGATGCCCCTGCCGCTGCTGTCAAAGAAGCACTTGTGGCACTTAATCGCCAAGCACTGCACGCTCACACGCTCGGGTTCGTCCATCCGGAGACGGAGCAGCGGACTGACGTTTTCAGCCCCAATGTCGGAGGATATGTGGTGGTTGGTTGAGGAATTAAGGAGTGTGGGAGAATAGAGACTTCTATAGTTGACCTGATGCCTTGTATGTGTTACACTCTGCTGCAAATTCAAATTCGGAGGAAATGTTATGAGATGGTCGCTGAACACATATCAGACCTGTCAAGATTGGGAACTGGGCAAAATACTCAAGATCGCTGAAGATACAGGATATCACGGCGTTGAGTTATTGATGGATTACAAGCAGAAACACGGTTTCGAGTGGGACACGCCCGAAGATCAGTGGAGTCGGCTCAAAGATGAGGTCGATGCCAGTGGGGTGGTAATTTCATCGCTGACAAGCTGCCAAAATTTCCATTCGCCGGATGCTGCGGATCGTGCCGAAAGCGTGCGCCGTGTTAAGTGCGTTATCGAGATGACGGATTTCATGGGTTGTGACCACGTCCGCGTCCTCGGTGACCGGTTTGACGATGATACCCGCGATGCCGTTGTCGGGTATGTCACCGATACGCTGAAGGAACTTGGGGAGTATGCTCAACCGAAGGGTATCACGGTATCTATCGAAATGCACGGATCTTTCATAGATCCTGTCCCAGCGATGGCAGTCATCGAAGGTGTCAATCTGCCTAACGTCGGTTTCGTATTTAACTCACAATTCTTCGGTTGTGAAGGGGGCAGTATTGAACCACTCTTTTCGCATGTTGCGCCACACATCACGGCAGTGCATACCCACGCTGCTGAAGTCCCAGAGACCTTTGAGCTCTACCGTCAGATGTTTCAGTGGCTTCAACGGATCGGATTTGACGGCTACGTCTCGAATGAATGTGCGTATCGGGGACCAGATCCGGAGAAGGTGCTTGCGTTGTATGTAGGGCTGTTTAAGGCGTTTGTTGGGGAATAATACTATGGTAGATTTTAGAATTACTTAGACACTTCCAATGCACAGCCAACCCCCTAAATCCCCCTTATCAGGGGGACTTTGGAAACTTCGCGAAGGTCGGAGTTATTGGTAAATGTCTACTATTTCTGCTTGTACTAGTTAGGAGTACGCACGTCAGCCCCGATGTTTCGGGGATTAAAGCAATTTGGTGTACGGGCGCAATCGCGTGCGCGTTACCACGAGCGAGACCCCCGACTACAAACCTACCGATTTACTGTAGTTACCCAATTCATCGGGCGTTATGAGTCGTGTTGTGCGGTGATAAATCACCGAACTACAATGCTTTGAGGGTTCAACTGCGCAAGTCCTATATCTTACTTACAAACCATGAATGCACTCACTAGGAGGAAAAAATGGCTTATATAAAGAACTGGCGCGATGTCCAACCTAACATCGCTCATCTAAGTGCAGTACATTGGGGATGTCTACGCTCAATAAAGGAAGGTGATGATGATGATCGTCATCGTCTGGACCGGTTGGGAGGCTTTGCCCGACACGCGCTCCAAGGACGCAAGACATCCGATTTTCACAAACATGAGAGTTTGGAACAGGTCTACTACATCCTCAGCGGGAAGGGAGAAGTGCTGTTTGAGGATAAGCGTTATCCCGTAGGAGATGGCGACGCAATTTACTTACCGTCCGGCATCCATCACCAGATGTTCAATACCATGAATGAAGGCTGGCTGGAACATCATGTCATCAGCATGGGTGTGGCGAGCAACGGTGGTGAGTTTACCATCCGCAATTGGACCCAGACACCGCCGCAGGGGGACGGTGCAGGTGCGGTACGGTGGTATCAACTAGAACCCGAAGACGATAGTGAAAATGGTTGTCTGAAGGGGATGCAGTTCATCGCTCGCGAATCTGTGCAGCCCGGTAACGAGATCGATTGAACGGTGTCACACAGATATTGAGCAGGTCTACTATGTGGTAAAGAACCGCGGTGTGCTCCAGAGTGACGGTGCAAAGAGCAGGAGATAACTGAAGGCGATATGATCCATATTCCCGCCGGCACGACCTACAAAATTCTGAATCCGCATCAGGAGTGGGTAAGCTCCCTGATTATGGCAGCTTGAGTGTAACGAAATCCCGATAAATCGGGGTTGAGCGGCTGCGCGCTGTACTACTCACGCTCCCACCGACTTGGGTTCATGCCGGGGGCTTCGTGCGGCATATTGGGCGGTTTGTTGCCGCCCTCGTATATCCAAATGCGAGCGTTGCGGTCACCCATCAACTCGCGCACGGCTGGGGAGAGTTTGGCAACTTCGTCCTTATCCCAAGGCTCCACCTCTCCGGCGGGTCCTGCCCAAGTCGGTCGGTAGGAGAGCTGCAGTGCCTCCCGTGGATAGGTCCCGATGTTTGGATAGTTACCGTGGAAGACATAGTTGTTGAACAGTACCGCAGCCCCAGCCTTGCATGTCACCATCATCTCTTCTGGGTGTTCTGCGTAGCGCAGGTAGGGGTTTGCCTCGTTGTGGAAACTCAAATGAGATCGCGGCACCACGCGGAAGGGCGAAACTTCGGGGATCAGGTCGTCTAGGTAGTAGAGAACACGGATAATTTTCGGACAGGTGTACTCCGCGCTGAAGATCCGGGATCCCCAAGGTTGACCGTCGCAGTGCAGACTGATGCCGGGGTGTCCCGGCTCGGATCGGGAGTAATCGTAGGACATCAAAACAACTTGATCGCCACACAACTCCTTGAGGAACTCAATCATCGGTGGATACGCAATCAACTCGGAGATCGCACCGCCGGCAAACTGGATGCTTGACCGTCCCCGTTGATGGACGCTGTAGTCTACGTGGGTTGTTTCAAACTGCGAAGTCTGTGCTTTGAGGCGTGTAATGTGGTCAGTATCGAGCAGATCGGGGAGAACCACGTAACCTTCCACCTCAAGTTGCTGGATGCGTTGACCGAGCGTGAGTTGACCCCAATCGCGGTCATCTATGCGCGGTGCCCCAACCGCTGGTTGGGATGAGACAGATACATCTGACATGGCTCAACCTCCCTTTCTGAAATTATTCAGTTTCACACCTAAAGGACTCGTACATATCTGGAACGCCCGCCTCATAAGGGTCTCCATCGTGGGCAACTATCCGAATGGCTAAATCCACCTCTTCCCCACGGGATACATAAGTGGCTCCCTTACGAAACGGGTTGACTCGGATGCTTCCATAGCCTCCCGCATACCACGCCACATTCCCCATTGAGGGAAACTGAAAGACCGCAATGCCAGCGGTGCGCCCTTGGGAGTCCGTTCCGTAGTAGTCAATCCAATCCGCGTGCTGCCAGCCGACATCGTCGTCTCGCCTGACCCTCAGAATCCACAATGCTGCCCCCCTGTTTCACACCATTCCGGTCTACAACCCTTAGATGGTCAGCCATCCGGATCGTGAAATATCCGTGCCGTGATGGTCCTAGGCGGATATCCCACTCCGTCGGTCTTAGCTGTGACCGCACATCAAGCACGTTGGCAACATCGCCCGGAAAGACGCTGATGGTACGCATCTCTTCGGCAACAACGCGGCGATATTTCGGGGCGTACCCCTGCTCAGGGTCCCTGCCATTGCATCCTCACGATGAACTCCAGATGCCCCTCGTTCAACTCCGTGCATTCGTTGTGTGTCATCGCCACGATGCGCCCCTCTCCCCTCCCACGCATGTCGGGCGAGTTGGTGTAGAAGCACATACCGGGATCCTCAAACCGTCCAGCGGCGATGTCTGGTACGTGAAGAAGTAGTCGTTCCCCACGTCGATCGACTGGTGAAAGGCGTGGTCGCTGGTCGGTCTTTCGTTCGTAACAGCAACCCCCGATGGTGTCATCACCGGATAGACGTAGCAGCGGCGAGAAGATTGGTTGAAACCGGTGATGGGTTTGCCTTTCCAACTAACCTCAAAAGCCGAACTGGGTCATCCATCCAGTCGTTCGGAACGGATATGTCTGAACTCTCCACCGAAAAATACTTCATAATACGGTGCTCCTAATAGTGAGGGGTTATCTACTATAGGGCTATTTTAGTTTTCGGTTTTCTCCCTGTCTTAGCAATGTGTCGGGATTCGGAGATCCCTCCTACAGGAGAACTAAATGCCTCTACTCTCTACCATTTTTGCACTTGACGTTTTCTATGGGCAATGGTATATTGACATACTCCCAAAGCTAAAGCATTGATACATAGAAACCTATCCAGTAGACCGTGTTTATTGTATCAGGTTTTGGGGATCTATTCAACAGTGTTATGTGCGAAAAGACAGCGGGGCATATTCCGCGCTTCGTTCTTTTTATGCTAGGCAGGAAATCCATCCCGATAAAATCGGGAGGCGCAGTTCTAATTAAGAGTCCCCCTAAGATGAGGGTGTATTGTGAGGAGACATTATAGATGAGTTCAATTACGAAGGTTGCTATCGTAACGGGAGCAGGTTCTGGCATTGGTAGGCAAACGTCGATTGCTCTGTCGCAGGAGGGCTATTCCGTTGCCTTGGCTGGCCGTCGTGTAGAGGCTTTGGAGACAACCGCTAAGGAGACGGGAGCGGATAGCTCACGAGTCCTAGTTGTACCGACAGATGTGACAGATCACGCCTCCATCCAAAACTTATTTGCCCAAACGAAGGAGACCTTTGGCAGGCTTGACCTACTGTTTAATAATGCTGGCACCGGCACACCACCTGTGCCGATGGAGGATTTGACCTACGAACAATGGAAAATGGTCGCAGATACCAACCTGACCGGCGCATTCCTCTGCACACAGGAAGCGTTCAAGATTATGAAGGACCAAGATCCCAGAGGGGGACGCATCATCAATAACGGTTCCATATCAGCACACGTACCGCGCGTCAACTCCGCGCCCTATACCTCCACCAAGCATGGATTGACGGGACTCACCAAGGCAACCTCCCTTGATGGACGTAAGTACGATATCGCGTGCGGTCAAATCGACATTGGTAACGCAGCGACTGAGAGAACGGACAGAATGGAAGTGGGTGTCCCACAAGCAGATGGAAGTGTTGCGGTTGAGCCGAGAATGGGCGTGGATGATGTGGCGCGTGCCGTGGTGCACATGGCAAGTCTCCCATTGGATGCAAATGTACTATTCATGACTATTATGGCAACGAAGATGCCTTACGTTGGGCGCGGATAATCTGAAGCGAGCTGCCTCAAAACGATGGAAGATTCACAAACATGGGAGAGCTTATGAACGCGAAACGATTGGAAGGACAAATTGCTTGGATCAGCGGTGGCGCTTCGGGCATGGGTGAAGCTACCGCCCAACTCTTCGCAGAGGAGGGGGCGAAGGTTACCATCGTAGATATACAAGCCGAACTTGGTCAGAAAGTTGTCGATGGTATCATCGCTAACGGCGGCGAGGCAATCTTTCACGAATGCGACGTTGCGCGTGAAGATGAGGTGCGCCAATCGATCGAAAAAACGGTTGCACACTTTGGTGGCTTGCAGATCATCGTGAATTGTGCCGGGGTTGTCCACGTTGTATCCTTGCACGAATATTCGGAGGAGGAGTGGGACCAGTTGATGGGTGTCAATGTCAAATCGATCTTCTTCTCTATCAAACATGGACACCCTCACCCTGTGCAAGAACCAACGCAGCTATATGGTGAACATCGGTTCAGTGGGCAGCTTCATCGGACAAGCCCAAACGCCGGCTTATATCACTTCCAAGCACGCGGTACTCGGATTGAGCAGATCTATCGCACTTGACTACGCCGCCGATGGGCTGCGTTGCAACTGTGTCTGTCCCGGAATCACCGACACGCCGATGTTGCGCTACCACCTGAGCACCACACCCGATCCAGAAGCCACGCTTGCGAACCGCCTCAGCCGTGTACCCACAGGCGTCGCCATCACACCGATCGACATCGCCAGAGCGGTACGCTACCTCTCCTGCGAGGACTCCGCCGGCGTCACTGGCACATCGTTGGTGGTAGATGGAGCCTATATCACACCCGCTGAGTGGGAAACTGTGGGACAAACGAAATTTATGGAGCAGTCATGACACTCAAACTTGCTTGTGCTGACTTTACTTTTCCGCTGTTATCTCATGAGAATGTTCTCCAACTCATCGCCATGCTAGAGTTCAAAGGTGTGGATATCGGTCTGTTTGAGGAGCGCTCCCATCTTTTGCCCTCCCGCGAGTTCGAGAACGTTACCCAATCTGCACGACGATTAAAAAATAGATTAGACACTTGGGGGCTTGAGGCTGCCGATATATTTCTTCAAGTGGGGCTGGATTTCAAGCCCTACGCGGTTAACCACCCTGAAGCATCGCATCGGGAGAAGGCTCGCGACTGGTTCATTAAAACGCTTGATTACGCCGCCGAGTGTGGGTGTGAGCATGTAACTGGATTGCCCGGTGCACACTTCGAGACAGAGTCATACGAGGACTCCTTCGCCCGCGCGGTTGACGAACTGAACTGGCGAGTAGATCAAGCCAAGACGCATGGCATCGTCTATGGTGTCGAAGCACACATCGGTTCCATCGTTCCGCAACCGGAACCGGCTGAGAAATTGTTGCAGCAGGTCCCCGGCTTGACGCTGACCTTAGACTACGCCCACTTCACGCGGATCGGCTTGCCGGATGCAGCTGTGGAGCCGCTGGTCAAATACGCTAGTCACTTCCATGTAAGAGGTGCTAGCAATGAGCGGCTGCAAGAGACCTTTGCCAATAATACAATCGATTTCAAACGGATTTTGGAAGTTGCAGATGCGAATGGATACGGAGGTTGGTTCGGAGTTGAGTATGTCTGGACAGAATGGGAGAACTGCAACGCGTGTGACAATTTGTCGGAGACGATTCTGTTTCGGGACTTTGTCCGGTCGCTGGCTAATTGAGAGACGCTTTAACGCAAGTTGCTAGACAGCCTGTAGACCAATCTTTCATAATCGACACCTATCAGCAATAACCAAATTTACGACACACATGTCGCCCCGCTGGGGCTTTAGGATATTCGGTGTATGCGGTATTCTATAAACATGTCGCCCCGCTGGGGCTTTATAGGCTAGGCAAGATGCCCGACCTACGGGCATAAGGAATTGGACTTTGTCCCACCGCACATAACTAGGGCGTGTCGACATTTATATGGGGTGTGTCCGTAAATTCACCGATGAATACCTAAATCGTAATTGGGCAAGGAAACCTCGTCCAAGGGGCTGGGAAACCCAACCCCTACAGATGGCACCTTGGGTGCGCTAGAGTTGGGTTCCGCGGTGCCCGCTCTACCCAACCTACTTGTTGTCAAATGTCAACAGAACCCAGTAACTTGGGTTACTTTAATTTATAAAAAGGAGAATAAAATGTATTCAATTGGTTTGTCGATGCAGCTAAAGCCCGGAAGTTACGAGGGATACAAAGAAGCCCACGATAACCTTTGGCCCGAAATCGCAAAGAGTATGGCAGACAACAATGTGAGTATGTCAATTTATCTCTTAGGAGATCGCCTGTTCTTGCACGCGGTTGCGCCGTCCGAGGCGGATTGGCTCAAGAGTCGCGAAGATCCTGAACTGGAGCGGTGGTCAGAATATATGGGAAACTATCTTGCAACGGATGGTGCGGGTAACATCATTTTTGATACATTGCCGGAGGCGTTCGCATTTGGTATGTTCACATCGGAATAGGGGGTTAGCCAATCTGAGCTAACACCGCTTCACACCGCTCTGCTACAATCTGTTCCTGCCCCGGTTGTAGCATGTGGGGATTGATCGTAACGCTGTCCTCAGTAAAGTGTTGACCAACGACTATGCAGGGGTCGCCTGCTTCCAGTGCTTCTGCTATCATCGATCGCGTGAAGTTAGCATCCGCTTCTGGGCGGATGTAAAGCATCGGCACCGTATACGTCTCCGACTTGATGAGGCGGCCGGTGGTTATATTCGGAATCCCCTGTAACGCTGCTTCGATGTAGTCCAGTTGAGCCGTCCACCGAGCGGTATCACCTTCGTGATCTCTCGCCAAGTAGAGTTCCAGTGCCTTCATAAACCCGATGATTTCCTCCCGGCTCACCTTCATCGGACGCCCCACGGTGGCGAATGGACGCCGTTGGCAGCAGCACCCCGCAATGAGATCTTTACGACCAATGACTAGCCCGGTGGATTGCGGTCCCATGATGCTCTTGCCACCACTGAAGATAATCAGATCCGCACCCGCCTGCCAGAAACGCTGTCAAGGTCGAAACCGGTGGGACACTCCGATGCGGCGTCCACAATCACCGGCACGGACGCTGCCTTTGCCATGGCTACAACCTCATCTAGTGGTACAGAGGCAGGGTGGTCCATGACCGTAGCCATGAAAGAGGATAGCCGCCGTAGTTTCATTGATGGCACGGCGCATCTCTTCGGTTGGCGGGGTCCCCTGATCATCAAATATCTCAATCAGCGTTGCACCAGCCACACGAATGGCTTGGTCATACGCAATTCGGTGTATCTTTTGGATGATGACCTCATCATCGCTGCCACATCCGGTCGCATCTCGGCCGCTGTGCACTTAGCGGGACTCACGTCGCAGCATACCAGCCATACAGGCAGCGGTGGTCAACACCAACCCGCAGGCAGCACTTGATGTCACATACGCTGCCTCTACACCTCAAGCATGGCAGCAATCCTTTCGCCAACTTTCTTCTGCACTTCATCTAAAAAACAGAACTGTTGAGATGCGCCGCGCATACTGTCCACTACTCCGGGTGCCATCAGGGAACCACCGTACCGGGTGACGGCTCCTGCTGCATTGATTAGGGTGCGGACGCCTAATTCCTCATAAATGCTCATCGTTGGGTCCTCTGCGTTCGTTAGCCGAGATCTCGGGGGCGGGGAAAACAAGATTCTCGGTAGGGGATTTATAACTCGGTGAGTATCAATGCGGTTAGCGAGTCATTCAACATCTGAGCACTGAGCATGCGCCTTATCGCTCGGATAACGCCTCTATTCGTTTCCAATGTGCTATTTGCAATGCTCTTGAGGATGAATTCTTTTCGTTTTCTGTTGCGGAACAAGCTAGCTCCGTTGCTTTGTGCTGTGTTACTAATTCGTTTATCATCTGATTTCCCTCATTGTCGGGTCAAGCGCGAGCGAACAGGTTACGGACATTTTGTTTTGCTTATTGAGACTCTCACCCCTCTTGCTATATGATGGATTTTGTTTCCAGCTTTCCCCCAGAATAGAATCAGAAGTCCGGTATGAAAATATCGGATATTTTCTACGTCTTTTACAATCTGTCTAAACTCTTGACCTTTATCATATTATCCAAGTTCACACTTTTCCTTTTCTTTATCGCAATGCTGTTTAGCTTCAATACCCATTAAATAATCAATGTAGGATGACGGCAGCTTGTTCTCAATTGCACCAACCAATACATGTTGTTTATACCATGTGTACGGCCTAAGCGTGCGGTTTATATAGTCCTTGTTGGCTATGTACGTTTTAACGTCTTTGTATTTGCTGCCTGTAGCATCACACATTTCAATTTTAAAGGTTACTTTTTTGTAGCCTCCATTGCCACGCGCTCCTTCCACTTTATCTAAACATTTTTCTTGTTTTTTCTTAATTTCAAAGAGAACGCCATAAACTCTGCCTGACTTGCAAGGTTCGATGGTGCATTTGCCGGATCCGTCCTTTTTACTGTATTTGTGAAAGGTCAGGCAGTAATTGTGGAGGACTCCAGTTCCTATAACTTTCGCAGAGGAAACTCTGTCTCTTAATCTCCTCTCAGACATATTTGAACCGTAGGCGAAATATATAAAAGTGCTCATAGTTTCCTTTCAGATAAATGCCCGATACGGATATTGTCGGACGTTTCGTTGGTTTCAGGTCGCTTGTTTATCAATAGACGGCACCGCGTACAATCGTATGGTAAATGATGCCGTTAGGGTCTGTATAATAAAAAAGATCAATCCACATCTGCTTCCAGTACGGCGAGGGCATTATGTCTTTCATGTGCCACTTATAAACAGATCCACCTTTGCCGTCGCTGGTGATCTCGGCGCCATGTTCAGTACACGTGGATCGCTCTGAAATGCGTTTCCTTTGTGCTTCGCCATGTCTGAACGCATGTCTCGGAGGAATGATTGAAGGTGTTGGTCGAGTTGTTGTCTTCTTGTCGCAGGCGCATTCTGCCTTTGTCTCTCTTTTGCCCTCAGTTCCGCCTCTGTCTGTTTCCTTATAACGCGCATTCCTAGCCCGGTGCTGTCTCGCACCTGTCGCTGGGTACAGCCTACGCAAAATATCGCCTTAATTGTCGTCACGGAAATCATTATAAACACTGGATCTCTGTTTTTGGATTCCTCCAAAATTGACCTCCAAATATCCGATAATGCTATTTATCGGACGAAAATCGCGCGTGAGGTCTGTGGATAGGAAGTGTCATTTTCATAAAATCTTCTCTCCTATTAAAAGTTGTTCTATTAACTCTTTTCTCTCTACATCATTCACAGTTAAATTAAATGCCCAGAGCAGCCGATTTGTCAACTCATCAACAGTGTCTATGAATTTGTTTCTATCTATAAGATCTTGCAACAGACATTGTAGAGAGGCTAAAACCTGAGAATCTAAACACTTTTGTGTTTCTAGATGATAGTCGTGGCCTAGGTTTCCGTGGAGGATGTTAGAATAAAACTTGTAAAATAGAAGTGTTTCGTCAAAAACCTGCCTCAATTGCACCGTAATATCAACATTCCCTAAATATCCACACTTCTTATAAAGAGAGTCGCCTTTCATCGTCCGACCAATCTCCCAAACAAATCGCCGAAAATCAAGGTGTTTTGCTTCGCCCCTAAGATGCTGTTCTATTTTGTCCAAGTGATGTCTATGATAGACAACCCCGTATTCATTTAATTCCCAGTAAGAGTAGAACTCCGTATCTCTTCTGTGAAGCAACCCAGCCTCCCATAACTCTTGACGAGTAAAGCCAAGATAAATCTGCTTCTCTTGCAAACTCATAAATATCTCCCGTTGAAATGATAGGACGGTGGGGATATACCGGACGAACAATCACTGTACTATCTGGAATCT